TTGTTTTTTTTTTTGTATTATTTCTTTCACCTATATTTAGTTTATTTAATCTTTTTACTTTTGTGGGAATCGATTCTCCATTTGATATTATTGTCTCTCTTCTAAGCAAATTTCGAGTAGAACGTTATCAAGCGACCATAGGAAAATATAGAGATAATTAGTCAAAAGGGCAAATTTGTTTTAATATTTTATTCTAAATCTTTTCAGTTTATTCATTGCTTTTGTAGTTGTGCTTGAGAATATGTATAATTTGATTTAATCATTTCGCATTAATTTGTTAAGGGAGATTTGTGATAGCCGTTATATTTACTTGTGTTTAACATAAGTATTTATAAGTATTTGTTGATGAAAAGAAGAGAAATCGGGCAAATACCTCCAGAATGCGAGCTAGAGCATAAAATATTGTGATGAGCGGCTTTTTGGACCAAGAGAATGACGTTCTGCCCATAATCCGAGTATAACTTATTGTAGAGAAATTGAAATCACTCGATTCGAATTTCATGTGAATGGTAACTCAAAAGGTACAAATGTTATGAAGACGTCATGGTCAGAATATGAAAGGAACAACACTCAATCAACCAATAAAGTCAGATGTTGCTGGTGGGATTTCAGGATGCATACCTCTTAGTGTTTTATCCATAACTTTTGATTGGATGATTAAAATCACTTCGTTCAAGTTTTGGTGGATAGAAGACTTCATTAGCTACAACTTTGGTGAAGAACTCATGTCCAAATTCGTAGCGAAACATCCCCAAAATCTTAGGACAAAACTGGCGCCGGAATTTCACCAAACCGGCTTCGGAATTTCACCAAACCGGCGCCGGTTGCATTTAATCTGCCATTTTCCCGGTCGGCCGAAGTATAACCAGCGCCGGTTTTCCCCTATAACGGGCGTCGGTTATGGTGTTTTTCAGTATTATTCCAGCCCCGAAGTAAAACCGGCGCCGGTCAAGCCTAAAACCGGCGCCGGTTAAGCCCGAATCTGCATAAAACACAAAGACGTGCAACCATATTTTGATGGGAAAACTCCACTTTCCTTATGATCTGATCAAATATATCTTCCATGCCTGATTGTTGGGTTTGAATAGACTAAAAGATGTCAATCTTTAGCCTATATAAAGCGCCCAATTCATCAAACAAGATCAAGCATTCCATTCTTGAAGATTAAATTTCAGTTTTTATATTTTCTTTTTGCATTCTTTTGAAGTGATGGAGAAGAAGCCATTTCTCTCCTCTACAATTGGTTCTAGGTACTATTTCTTGTATGTTATTGTATTTCCTTTATCTTAGTTATACTTTTGTAATTAGTATGAGCTCAAGGAGCTAAATCCTTAGCTAAGGCTAGGGATGAACTTCTATGCCCACTAGGTGTTTGATAAAAGTTCTAAACCAATAAATTGTGATTTATCCTTTATATTTTGATTGTTTATGACTATGGTGTACAACATAGAAGTATGTTAAATTTAGTTTATACTTGCAATTAACGTTGAAGTCTAAATTATGAACATTAAAGGATAAACATATATATTACCGAGAATAGAAATATATCCGGTATTATATGATACGGGTGTGATGTCTTGATATTCAACGGGGTTTTCGGTAGATGAATGTAAGCTGTAACGGGTCTTACATGTAACGAAAACCACACTCTCGCTGCCTTAACCGGAGTTGAGAATATATTAGCGACATCGTATTCATAATTATTGGTAAAGAACTAATATTCAACCCTATTAAAGCATTTAAGTGATTCCCGAAGCCTTAGCCGTTGTTATCATTTATTTTAAATCCGAATTAATTAAAGTTATTTCCTTGAATTAAAAGTGAAAAGCCAAAAATATAAAACACAAATCAAAATCCCTGCACTTTACTCATTTATTAATTTAAAAGTCATCTACTCTCGGACTAAATTAAACAACGTTTCCCTGTGGATTCGACCTGGTATTTTACCGGAATTTATTACTATATCGGCACTTGTACACTTGCAAGTTTAGCCCGGTCAATTTGCATTTTCAGTACCATGATTTTTAGTTGTGCTCGTTATTAGTAACTTTACTCAAAAAGTCCACGTTCTTGTAATAATATACCAAAAAAGACATCATCAGGGTTCAAATTTCTGTCGGAAAGTGTACTATTCAATGCAAAAATCCTTAATTTACAAATAGTTATTAGTTACATGACCAAATTTGCAAGTGAGTAAAGTTAAATCACTTATAACGAGGACATATGAAAGTTATGTGATTAAAATTGCAAACCTCGTATTGTTTAAAATAGAGTCACATTGAAGTTATATAAGATGGATTTCGTTATGCAATACATAACTTTTAACGTATAAGTGAATTTACTGAAAAAGTAGTTTATCAAAACTAAAATATTATACCTAGATAGAAAACGAGAGTAAATGACTCTATTTGCACTATCATAGTATATTTTATCACATTTATATCCATGTATAAAAAGTGCCCCCATTAAAAGAATTTTCTGGATCCGCCCCTAGCCGCAAGGAATAACTTATTGTCATGACTACCTACTCATCCACAATGGTCTAATGAATTTGGAAGCCCGATTCGAAAGGCAAAAATGAGACATCACATTAATATATAAATGAAAAAATATTCACAATTTGAACACTCAAATAAATTAAGTACTCATTAAACCGTGCTATTTAAATTAAAAACTTCCCCTCCCCCCACCCCTCCCCCCTCCTCCTCCTTCTCCTCCCTCTTTTGCTCCTATTTAAATTTAAAAAAAAAAAAAAAAAACCTCCCCCTCCCCCCCTCCCCCCTTCGCCCCTCCCTCTTTTGCTCCTAATAATAGGAACACAATGCCTATTATTATACATCTTTGAAAAGAAATAAAATTATACATGTATGTAAATATAATCACCCTACCACGGTTAACCATCATGAATCATATAATGTGGTGTCGAATATTTCTAGCAAAGGCGTTAAAAAAAATTAAAAGGTAAAAATGAAAATAAGGAAACAATAAGAAGCGATCGAAGAAACATAACGTATAGAAAACATCAATTTAAGCCAGCTATAAATCAATCGATCAAAGAAATCAGTATATCTTCTCCGAGTTCGAGACCATGAACTCGCTAAAAGAGATGATCAATATCGACGACTATGCTTCTTGGATGGTTTCAGCATGTGTTTCAACGTCTAAAATCATTTGTTCGCATAGCCTTTCCTTGACTGAACGAGAGCATGTTATGTAAAACTCATTCTGTCGTTCGATACAAAGTAATGACCAATATCGTCTTTTAGGGGTGCAATATATGCTGACACCAGGATCCACTCTTGTAGGGAGCCTCCAAATATTTAGTATGTAATATTAGTTATATGTTGATTTTTCTAGATTTTATGTAATTATTCAAAATTTTAAAAGGTATACAAGTTTTAGATTGTCTAGTTTGTGTACTTTAACCATCATATAACTTATATTTTACACATCATATAACTCAATTCGTCATTTGGAACCGGAACCTCAAGATTAGACGCCCCTGGTATTGATAGGTGTGCTTTTATAATAAGAGAAATTTAGATATTTAAGATAATTAAATTAATTAATATTTAATTTTGTGGCTGCATATAATAATATTTTTGGGATTGTCAATAGAATTAACCTAAAGCACAAGGGTAATCTTGACCAATCCTTCACTAGCTAACTCATGTCTTGAACCTTGTAAGACCTATTCTTAGGGTGAACGGACCCTCACCATCTCATGCTTTTGTTAAAGGGGTAATTTCGTGTATAGGAGTAGAACATTTCAAATATGTACAAATAGGAGTCTACCTTTTATCTACGCTTTAATAGGAGTTAAAAAGACCTGGAGTGATCAAATTGTCCTTAATGAAAGAATCAGGCTATATCTATAATACTCCGTATAAAAACAAAAAATAGAAAACATTCCAGAGAACAACAGACACGGATGATGCAGCGGTACAGCCCTAGGGTGTAACTGTCACCTTCACCGGCTCCGGCAGCACCACCGGCCGCCGCCACATCTGATGTGGTCGCTACCGCCGCCGCATTTGACATCGCCGCCAACGGCCGCTTTCCGCCTCCTTTGTCTCTGCCACCGACCGTCGACTGTGTTGTCCAGGAGCCACCTCTTTTGGAGAGACCACTATAGATCTGTAGCAAAGAGTTTGTCACATCTAATGTCATGTTTGTTGCTTTGCCATCTTCATAAATGAGTGCCATATATTAACATTTTCAGATCTGAAAAATGGCATGTTGAGAGACAAAAATCATGGCATTTAAAGAAAACATGGAATTTGTAGACAAAAAAACATGACACTAGAAATGATATTATTGATGTAATTAGTGCGATAATTCTAACATACTCTAACATATCCAGATCTGAAATTAAAAATGGCACTTGAGAGAAAAATCATGGCATTTTAAAAAAATATGGCATTATAGAAAAACATGACATTGGATATATATATACACATATATATATATATACATACACACACAGATATATATATATATATATATATATATACATATATATAGTCCTTTTCTTGTCCAGCCGGCCTGACGGGAACCGTCGTCCGGCCGAGGGAATTGCGGGAACTTCCCAATGGAATTTTTTGATGAAATTTTTTGAGCATGTTCTTCATGAAGTCTAGTTTATCCATACCAAATTTCAGATCAAAATTCAATCGGGGAGGCATTCAAATAATTTTTTGAAGTTGACTGCGTCAAGGTATACATATAAAAACCCAGTCAACTTACGTATCATTATGATATTTGACTTCTTTTCTCTTGATTAATGCAAGAGTATTAAAAACGTACCGTTCGGTTCTCTACCCCGAACAGTTATCCACCCATGTAATTTACGGAGAGGGTCTTGTTAAGTACACTTTTCCTACATTCTTTAAGCAAGAACATTCTAAACGACTTAGATCATGTCAAAGTAAATAATTATATGGGAAATTGACTAGCTATTAGCTAATTTTACTTGAAATAAATGTTAAAAGAAATTGGATGCAACTCAATTGAATTGGCATATCAATTAGCCAAGTGAAACAACAGTTTGACTTCCCTTGTAAAACAGATATTTACAAGAAAAGTATTCCTAATAAGTACAACCATAAAACTAATTAACAAAAAGAAGCACAAAGACTAACTAGTTTACTCACAAAAATTAAATTAGTTGGCAGACTATAACTTATCAATGGAAATTAAACAAGAAGACAAAGAATTGGGAAAAACTAGATTCCTAATTTGGTGGGTTGATTGAGCTCATCAATAGATCTTGAGAATTTGGTAGGGTTTGGATGAACTTTTCTGGAACCAGACACTTATCCTTCGAATACAATTTCTCCTGAATCAACGAAGACCCCACAAGTGTCTCTAAATCTTCATTCATAAATGTCTCCCCATTTTCCTACACCATAATGCACATACAAATATACAATTATTTATATGCAGTAATTATAAAATTAAGCACTGAATGCAGTATATATTGTCAAACAATTCCATTAATTAAGCACACAAATACATAATGCATAAAAGTTAATCATTCTCAAAATGAATAGCCAGTATTTAATTATTTTTTCAGTTATGGACATGTGGATCAAAATGAATACCTAGTATTTAATTATTTTTCAGTTATGGACATGTGGATTAATATACTAGATAATACATATATACTCGCTGCAATAACCGAGCTTTGGAGCTTAATTAAATCAGAGATAAATGTAATAATTATTTTTACATTTCTTTGTAATAACTGTCAAGTTTCAACTTTCAAGCAAGGAGTACTATAGTACGTCGTAGTACTATTTAATGAAATTATGAAAATGTAATTTATACTGAAAATTAAATGTTCATTTAAACATTAAATGTGCTTAATGATAACTAAATAAGTATATTAAAATAATTTATCTTAAGTAAATATTTGTAATAAATGAATTAAATTACCTGAGATGGCGAGAGGCAAGACTGAAGTACTGAAACTTGGGTTTGCATGAACTTGATGTAGTTATAGGCAGCCTGAAACATCTCGGCGGTGTTCATTTTCTGGCCGCCGGGAATCAGCTTTGCCAGTTCCTGCGTCTTCTCCGTGATCCTCCTCCGCCTCTCCCGAGCGGCGATGCTCTGCGGCGACAACGTCTTCCCGCCGTCGCTCTTCTTCCCCGCCATCCAACTCTCCGCCTCCGAGCAGTAAGCCGTAAGCGGCCCACCCGGGAGCTCCGGCAACGGCGGTGGAGGCGGAGGCTTGAACTCGTGCAGCCGAGGAGGGTTCGGAATGAAGACGCCGAAACAGCTCTGGGTAATGTCTTCTTCTTCACTGTGGAAGAGCTTCTGACGCTTCGGCGGGTCCTCCCTGAATTCGCGCTCTTGCTGAAAAGAGAAGTCAGGCGGCAGCGGAAAGCAGTCGCCGGAGAAAATAGGGTCACCGGAGTTGAAAAGAGGGTCCACCGGAGTGGGTTCTGGAAGAACAAAATCATGGTTGTAATTGAAGCCGCCAAAAAGAAGCTCAGCCGCCGAAGGTTCAAGAAGGTGATGACTATCCACTGGCTGCGGCGGCGGCGGTGGTTGGGGGAAGAAAAGTGGCGAAGGGTCGTCGTCCAAGGTTTGTGTGAAGTTAAGGAAGTTGTCGTGAGTGGTTTCCCAGGTAGGATAGTAGGAAGTTAAGCAAGAAGTAGCCGCCATTTCTGTAATAAGCAAGTCAAATGAAAGAAAGAAGCAGAAAGACAAAGACATGAAGAAAGAAATCGGAAAGAGAGAGATGAAAAGAAGGGAAAATTACGTGCGCAGAAATGGGAAGTTAGGGGAGAGAAAATAGGATATCATATGGATGAGAATTTTTTGTAGTAACTGACTCCCAATTATGAGGGGATTATTTCGGAAGTATCCAAAGAGAATTTGGGGCTTATTTTTATTGCAGTCTTTTATATTCCAGTAATTAGCATGAGTACCTTCGGTTCCTAAGTTTTGTTGTTTTATGTGTTATTTGGGATGTTTTTATTTGGTCTGGTCCGGTCTGATCCGGTCTGGTAAATGTCTGGTCTTTGTGTATTTTATAACTATTCAAGTCTGATCTGGTCTGATCTAGCCACATGAGGTGTTTATTACTGTATATTATTACTCCCTCCGTCCCACTAAATTCTTTCAACTTTTCTTTTTGGGTTGTTCCAAAAAATTCTTCCAACTTCCACTTTTAGAAAAAATATGTGGTTCACATTCATTCACCTTTTTCCTACACGATTACAACCATACATTTGCACTTTATTCTCACTCTCTTAATTTGCGAGCCAAGTTTGACATGAAAGAATTTATTGGGAGAGAGGTACTACTATTAATTATACATAAATAAATAATAATGATAGGCTGTAATAAACTAATAATGACAGAAAGTACAAACTCCGCAACAGTTACAATGAAAACACTACTTTGATTACCAATTAATAATTAAATATGGATGGATGTCATCAAACGTATTTCGGGTATAAAAAAGTGTTTATGTTAGATTTGTACGATATATTATATTTGCAAATTATACCGTGAGATCAGCTTACGTACAATGACCAGCATCAGGCCAGTCCTAGAAAAACAGAGGCCCTGTGCAAGAGAAAAAAAATAGGTCTTTTTTGCTTTTTTTTATCGTAAAACATGCGACTTTATATTAAAATCGTGAACGCATACAAGACAATATTCAGGCAAATTTTACAGATCCAATCGTGAACCCTAGGAGTAGACATAGAATCAGCCACCTCATACAAAGCAACAGGGCCGGCCCAGGGGGTGTGTAGGGTGTCCGACCGCACAGGGCCCAAAAATATGGAAGGCCCAAAAAAATAAATTAGTAGTAGTATTACTACTAGTCTACTACTCAGTATAAGTTAGTCAGCCCATTAGAGAACGAAAAGGTACGGGACAAGCATAGCAATCTGCGAAAGAGGAAGCGCATAGGCCAAAGGGCATAACGAGTGACTGAGCGAGACGAGCGACGTGTCGACGACTCTCCATCTCCATGTTCTGCTCCAACCATCCTGATTTCAAAGTTGTTGCGGCGATTCGGCCTTCGGACTGCTGAAGTATTCACCTCTTACCATCGGCAATGGGCATCCACTCATCTAGGACGGCGGGACTCCACTATTCTAGGTAAGTTCGTAACTAATAGAAAGTAATTGTTCTTTATGAATTAATATTATAATCTGAGTTCAACAAAGTGATATTAATAGGTTCTTAGGTTGTTAAATTTGTTTTTGTGTCACTATACAACTTTATGCGTAAATAATTTTTTTCTTGGATTTATTACTGTTAGTTAATACTAGCAACTTCTATTTTGAAATAATTCTATAATAAATTACTACTAATCCGTATCAACAATTTACCATTTCAATTGAAATAGCCTGTCTATTAACGATTGAAAGGAAAGACCTGATTTTTGTTGTTGCACAGGGCCCTCGTTTTCTCGGGACCGGCCCTGCAAAGCAACCTGACTCATTAAACCTGAAACTGGTAAATGTAAGCCTAAAACGAACGGATCTGAAACCCTGTCAATCAAAAGAACTCCAAAAACCCAAATATTCAAACCAAATAGAATGAAATTAGAACTACTATCTTTCAAGATAATAGAATGAAAAAAGTAATAAATTATTAAAAATTTATGTCAAAATACAAGTTACTAAGTAGTACGTACGGAGTATTAACTAACAATTACAAACTTAAAAAGAAAAATTTATTTACTTATAAAGTAGTATAATAGTGAAAGAATTACAAAGTTAACAACCTAATAGCCCAATAATATAAATTTGTTAAAATCAATTACATAATTAACATCTAAACGCCTAATTGTTGTTGCGTAGTGAACTGTAATTGTTAAAAGCGGGAGGGAGCAAACGACTAAGCATATCATTCGGTGCCCTTCTTTTGTTGGCAGAATGACTTTGAGTTATGTATATTACCTAATACTCCATATCACTCTAAAATTTACACTCCTTCGTGGCATTGTCAATCGTTTCTTTCGTTTGCCTTTAATCTTTTTATCTTTTATTCCTATTTTTTCTTTTTTTAATCTTTTCTTTTTCTCCATTAAAATACTAAGTTTAACTGCGGTTTTACTTTTTTTTATTCAACTTAAATTACAACTGAATTTACTTTTATTTTTATTTTTATCAATTCATAATATATATATCTCTGATGGTATAATTGGATTTACTTCCATCAATTTCTTATTTGAATGTTTCTCCACTTTTTCTTAATAAGTGCCCCAATTACCAAAATTTTCTTGGATCCACCCCTAAATTGGCTAATATTTTTGGAACGGATAGAGTACTGTTTATAATTCTTACAAAATGTTACATATTTGAATAGCAATAGGAACCATAAAGCAATGAAAACTAATAGCAACACGCCAACACATGTTATCTATTTTAGTGTCTTGCGGTGATAATGGATTTTCAGTATCTAAATTGAAGATATCCACATTTTGATGAAATTCTAAACTTCATTAAAATTCATATCCAGAAATCCCCATAGTCAATTAGGGTTTTTTTTTTAAATTTAGGGCGTTCGAACTTTGAAGCTTTTTTTAAACTGAGTGCCCTGGAGTAATTTTTAATTCTTTCTTGTAATTTATTCAAAATAGGACCCGTATGAAGTACTTCCTTATACTTAAATCCATTATATAGGCACATGAATCAATTAAGAGATTTCAATATTATCAAAATTGGTGTTGCAAAAAAAATTACTCCGTATTAAAATTGGTTAATACAATTACTACTACTCCGTATGTTGGATAAAGAAAATTAGTTTATCCAAAAATATTGATCAAAGTCATCAAACCTTTTCTGAATTGAAAAATCTAATTTAGTTTTAAAAAATCGCATAAGAACTTCAAATTAAAAGATGATCTGATCCATAATTTTGGCCTTTATAAATGTGTCTTGTTTACGATGCATATTAGAGCATCTCCAATGCTAAAACGTTAACGGTGCATACGTGGCATGGAAAATAACCAATTAAAAACAATAAATATAATATTTCTCTCCTTATTTGAAGGATCTTACATCATTTTGGTAAGTTTTTCTTCACAATGTCAAGCAGAATGTCAAGATGTAGACATTGTGATTGACATTGCAGACAAAAACTTACCATAAACACATAAGACCGTGGAAAGAAGGAGAGAGATATTGGATTTATTGTTTTTAATTGGTTATTTCTCATGCCACGTATGCACCGTTAACGTTTTAGCATTTGAGATGCTCTTAGGAGTGCTTTGTAAAAGCGTATGTTGTGGGAGAAAACATACACAAGATCAGCACTTTTTAAGAATGTGTCGCTACTTATGCACTTTAAGAGACCGTTTTCCTACTAGTGAAGAAAGCTAGAAGAGAAGTACGTGGGAGTGTGCGACTGTTTTTTTTGGATGAAATGTAAATATATATTAACACCCAGAAAATTATACATCACATATCCTAGATCTCCTAAAATCTCCCCCACCTCCACATAATATGAGGGTGAAAGGAGGTTTTTATTCGATCTATTCTATGCCAAAATAACCAAGTATAATACTTGGCCCATCAAGAGGTTCAAAAATACATCTGTGTTGCACATGCACGCACACATATCATATGCTAAAAATCAAAACAAAGTACAAAGGTGTTGCAAGATGCACACACCCTAAAGTCCAAAACCATACTTCATGCCGTAGCATCCACGATGTCCATGTTGCGGTGTCCCGAGTGCCTAGGACACGGCATCCAAAATATCCATGTCTCGGCGCACCAAACAGTCATGTATCAGTCTGTCCACACTGCGACATCCATAATATCCATGCCGCGACCTTCTACTCAAAAAACGATCAAATCATGTGGGTAGATACTAAAGAGTATCCGATATACGACAATCTTGATCTTAGCAACAATGTCCTCCTCCCTCTTCATTACTTCATCAAAGCTTGCCGCGTTCCTAGCGTGCCAGATGTAGTAGACTGCGGCACAAAATGCCAGTCTAGCTGCTTTGGCCTTTAGCTTCGAACCTTTGTGCGTCTTTATTATCCATTTGACCGAGCTGAGTAGCGTGGTCATTTGGTGACTAAATCCCATCCATTCCTTGATCCTTTGCCATACCCTACATGTAAAAGGACATTGGAAAAAAGTGTGGTATTGTTTCCAAACCACCCTTGCATAAGTCGCATCTATTTACTATATGCAAATAACCGAGGCTATCCTGAGTATGAAGCCGGTTTCGTAAAGCCATCCATACATTGAAGGAAAATTTATGGGGGATATAGGACTTCCAAATGAAGCTCATCGTAGTCCTAGTCTCACCCTTTACCCTTAGCAGCTCATACACCTTGCCCGAGATTGACTTTCCATTTATGGCCCTTGAATTAAGGCCCAAGATAGTGTCATTCAAATTATTAAAACACCCTCTCAATTTATCCCGAATGAGACTCATCTGCTTCATGAGCTGAAAGTCTCGGCTGTGTGGGATAAAATCCCACACACTTCTAGTTTTTAGTTATATGATGTGGCTTGTGAATAGGAAAGAAATTGCTTAAACTTAGGGTACTATTCCAGCCTAATTTTTTTGGAAGAATATGGATCCACATCAACTTCATGGGTTGTCTATAAGAATGACATGTATGTCCATTTTTTATGGGGTACAATCAACTATTTACCTATTAAAGATGCGGGCACGATCGATTATTTATTCTAGCAGAGTCAGGAAGGCCTGACCGGAAGCCTCGTGCGGCTTCCCCTTTTGGGGGACTTTCCGGTGGAATTTTTTGATG